TTAACACTGAACTCCTCTCACCCTTCATTCTTATGAGAATACAAATGTCACCTAATTTGCGCCCAGTTCGGTTTTACATTGCTCAATACATTATGTGTATACTCAAACCAACATGTCTTTTTATTTCATGATCATCATAGAAAATAATCAGGAACAGCTACATTATGCATGTTTTAGGATGTATGTTTTGCCTCTGTGTATAGTATAGAAGGTAGAATGGTAGAAATAATGATAGACTTGTTGGTATGCATGATCTTTCAAGGGAAAAAGGTCGTTTTTCAAATGCCTATAGTTAGGAAGGAGGCAGTTAAGTTAATTTGACCACATTCATATAGCCAACTATTTTTGTTAGTCAACTTTCCATATACACAGATTACTTCTATATGGTTTTTTTTCATAGGTAATATGCTTCTTTTGAAAGTAAAAACCTTAAAGCTAAATGTAAGTCAATATCCATTTCATAAACACAACTGGTCAGTAAGACAATGTCATTATGTATGAAAAATAGGTGCTCCCAGTGAATTCATGTCAAATGTCATCTAAATAAGCTTAGTTATTCGTATATATTTTTAAATTATGCCACACTCACTCACATCGCTTACTTTAAATGTATATCCAAACCATATGAGAGTACATGGCCTGTTGGTCAACATAAGAATACTCCCGGATGTGATTTAATGATGCAGTTCACTTCAGATGTGATTCAACCGAGAACAACACAAAGCCGACACAAAGCCTTAAGTGTGCACCAGTTTGTTGCCTCAATTCTGTCCATATTTCTCCCTTTTTGTTTTATTTTTACAGTTGATCTCTTTCGGCTGTATCTCTCTTTCTTTCATGGCAGTAATAATAATGAAAAATCTATTTTCCCTCTTGGCAATACAGAGACCATCAGATACAAGGGAAGGAGAGAACAAGAGAAACAGGGTCTGACAATCGCATTAGCCAGACTGCATGGTTGCTTTTTGGACAAAATAAAGTGTGTGTGTGTGTGTGTGTGATCCCGTGTGACGCCCCTTTTGTTTGTGTATGAGTGCGCGAGAGTAGAGAAAGCACTCAGCTGATATTAGCTCGTTCTTCATTCACTCGCTAATGTGATTTCACTCTATACACCACACACACACTCCCACAGGAATAGACACCCTTGGTTCCATCTCTCTTTCACTTTCTCTAAAATAATTGTGGTTTTACCTCATACATCTCAAAACACATAAATCCCCAGATAAATTGTTACACAGGAAATAGAGTGTACAGGCTGTTTGTGTGAGTGTGTGTGTTTGTTTGCGTGTTAAAAGTTTGTCTCTAGAGGAGTAAAGCATTACACATAAGATTTTGGAAAGGAAGCGGAAGGGTTCAACGTTTATTTACATAACACGATATTTGTGTTTTTCATGCTGGCTGCGAAACTCCGTACAAACAAGAATGCACGCAATGTTTCAAAAAGGATATCATATTTTCTCTATTTGTATTGGTTATAGAGTGCCACAGTGACGCGTCCTAAAACCCGGAAGTCTAATATATCGATTAGATTTATGATTCGAAAATGATAAAAGTAGGGTAGACATGTGGAGATTATCCTACTGAACAAAACGTGATCCGTCTCTTAAATGTGTGTCAACCACAGACCTTATTTCCAGCTATTTTCCAAACTCCTGCATGAGTGGGAACGGCATAGTGCAGATGCGCAAAGTTCTGTCCATCCATGCAGGTCATCTATGTGTTTGCCAAGCCAAGCAGAGCAGTGAAATAAAAAAAAGTGAAAGATATGGGCCTACTTAGAGAGTAAAGATGAGAGGAGAGAATGGACACAAATGGGAAGGCAGCTAAGCCAGAAAAGGAGGAAGACATTAAAGAGATGGCTACTCTAAAGAAAGAAGCCAACACTCATGTTTTGAGTGGCAATGGACTAGATGAGAAAGAACGGATATACAGAAATTAAGTTGAGTCAGATGAGAAAGGCAGTCAAGCTGTGAGTAAGGGCCAACTAAAAAAGGGGAAACTGAAAGCAAGGGGAAGCAAATTGACAGGAGAGATAGAAGCATGTTGAACAGGCCAAGCACAGTTTGGATGAGCAGAAAAGCAGACGGATAAGATCAAAGTCAAAGTCAGCTTTATTGTCAATAATTCTACATGTTGTACATCCAGAAATCTCGAAATATCGTTTCCCGCAGTCCTACAGTGTGACATATATACATCAAACAAAAAACAAAAATGGCCTAGATAAACATGGTATACATTAAACAAAACAAAGGGCCTATATAACCGGGGTATACAGTTTAAAATGTTAATAATATAATTTAAGTGTTCAAAGTACAGTTTCAGTGCAGTAGCCGCGGAGATGGGCAGAAAAGTGACTGGTGCTGGATGAGGGAGGTTGTGTGTGTGTGTGTGTGTGTGTGTGTGTGTGTGTGTGTGTGTGTGTGTGTGTGTGTGGTGTGTGTGTGTGTGTGTGTGTGTGTGTGTGTGTGTGTGTGTGTGTGTGTGTGTGTGTGTGTGTGTGTGTGTGTGTGTGTGTGTGTGTGTGTGTGTGTGTGTGTGTGTGTGTGTGTGTGTGTGTGTGTGTGTGTGTGTGTGTGTGTGTGTGTGTGTGTGTGTGTGTGTGTGTGTGTGTGTGTGTGTGTGTGTCAAATGCATTAAGGAACAAACTCAAGTAATAAACCTAACTACTAAAGAAAAGAAAATTGGAGTATTAGTGTGACATGACAAACAAGAGATGATGGATGAGCAAATACAAACAATGAAAAGAGAGTTTAGGAAATTGAGAAAATGAGTATGAGAAGGGTGAGAGTGAAAAAAGGGCTGGGTTTTAAAGAAACAATAAGTTGCGGGTGTTTTGCTTCTAAAGCACAATTGATTAAAATGTGGAGACAGAAATAAAGATGAGGGGGCAGATAGAGAATAGAGAGGAGAATACAGAATTAAAGGAAGTCAAACATTGTGTGAATGTCAAATATTTTTAGAAACACATTATAACTGGGGTCACATGTTTGACTAAAGTTCTTATGTTTACCTCTTTGTGAAAGAGTAGACAGAACAATGTAATATGTCTTGCCACAACCATATTTAGCTAGTAGGGTAAACTATGCTCCACATTGATAGTTACATGTTGGATTTTTTTCTGATTACTTAATGTTCTTGTCAGTAAGCACAATAAGTTGGGAGGAATACAAAAAAATAAATATAGGATACACAGCTTAGCGGAGTGAGGGCCAACCTGTAACTTATGAATATCTATTGCATTGGTTACAGAACATACACAAGGGGATACATGTATTACTAATCAAACCCATGTTTGAAAGTATACATTGAACTCTGACTACAATGGAAAGAAGAGATACTTTAACGATTGACAAATGCCAGAGAGAGATGCTCTGTGTAAAAATGAAAGGTAATTTAGAATAAAGGGAACAAAAAAAGACCAAAGAGAAGAAATTAGGGGACAAAAGGAAAGGATTCGAGAAAGAAGAAAGGGCGGTTAAAAAAAAGATGTGAGCTTTATGAATGCCAGGAAAAGGCAGAGAGGAAGAATATAGATTTACAGTAGGTGGGTAAATGCCACAGAGAAGAGCAGAGAGAACAGAAAGTGTGCAAGGACGTTGAAGTAAAGAGTGAAAAGTTAGAAGGCTTACGTAAGAGGAGGAGAAGCGGGTGGAAGATGAAAGAGGAAGGGAGGAATTGGAAGGAAGGATGGAGGTGAAATAAAGGGAAGAATGGTAACTTAAAGTGGACCTATCATGCTATATTTGAATAATATAGTGTAGGACCATACCTATATAAGGCATATTTATACTTTTTTTTTTTCAAAATACCAAACAGATCATGCATTTTAGCCATGCCTCATTTTGCTCAATTTGACATTTTTTAGATCTGTTTTAGCAAGGGTTGATTCTGTGAGCAACAGCACCATCTAGAGGCCTGGCATATGTACTACAACGTCTCCAGCGCTTTCGAACGGCAATGCCGTGGTTGTCTCCTCCTGATTGGTGGAGTTGGCCCAATAGCCGTAGCGCCACCGTCCTGACGTCAGGAAAGTGTTCAAATCTGGATCAGTTTTGATCAGATCCGTTGCAGCCCCTTTTTTAGAGATTTGGGTATGGAGGAAAATAGAGAGGGTTGTGTTTTCTGACACTTGGTGAGTTCCCTGGAACACCGGGGACACATATTCATGTATAAAAGACGTACACAAGTGCATTTTGCATGATAGGTCCCCTTTAAGGACAAACATAAACGTGTTGCAGTGGCAGAAACGTTCAGGTTTGGCTGTTGTCCATACCTGTAAAAAAGCTGGCCTTCCATTCCTCCGTCTCTCCTCTTCCTCATTTAATCGAAGGAATGTAAAAGCTGAATGCACACCTGGGCAGTTATGTGTAAGCACATTTTTGGAGGACACACTCAATCATGTGGAGTTTAGATCAAAGGCGGCCTTGCCTCCTTACTTGACTCTCTGTTTTTGTTTACCTTTTGTACAAAAACCCATTTCAATATGACAGATAATTTAACCAAGGCTCACTTGTTTCTCACCCCTATCCAGTGTATTTGGTTTTAATGCAGCCTTGTTTTATGTTTTCAAAAAGCTGTTCTGTGTTCTGCCTCGGGGCTGTTTGCAGTGGTCCTACTAAAAGCACACATATTACATAGAAGTGTAATCAAACTGACAAAGTATCCGTATGTATGTTTCATCTGATGAAACACAGTCGACTCAGGGACATAAAATACAGGAGTTGTTCTAAACTTCACTAAACGCATTATAATCCGATTTTACGAGTACATTCAGTACTTTTCTAGGCACAGGAAGCACTTACTTTCATGTTTAGCTGATGAATGAGTCCGTTGTTTTTGTTTTAACACATCAATATGCTAATCTTTTTGTTGCTATAGGTTAACAAGCTGTCAGGCCTTTTGTATCGCCAACAATAGAAGGACTGTCGTTTTTTCTGTATGGTTCACGTGTCAGGTAATTGTCTGATAATGTCAACACATTGTGCTCTGTGTTTCTACAGGATAACAGGCTTCCAGGTCCCTCCCCCTGTCACCAGCACAGGAAACGTCTTCTCACTGAGGTTGACCAGTGACTTCGCTGTCTCTGCACATGGCTTCAAACTCAACTATGAAGGTCAGACACTGTCAGTGTGTGTTTGTGTGTGTGGGGGGTTGTTGTGTAATCATGTTTAGGCTGGGCTTTATTGAGGATTATCTAAAGTTCAGAAACATTACCAATATAAATAACAACCACTAGCCCCTTGCAAAGAACGATACAAGTCTAAATCCCTCAGTTTTTGAACCCATAAGTAATTGAGCAGGTGCACTGTGTGTTGTTTATCTGAAGCAACCCCTGATATTTCATATACACATTACACTTGGAGGAAGCAACACATCACAATAGAACCTTTAAAAACACTACATGTTTTTCCTTTGGGACGATTTAACTCTGAGCCCAAAACTCTATTTAGATTTTGTGGGCAGTATTTAAATATTAAAGGTCACCTATTATGTAAAATCCACTTTTTCATGTATTTTATACATAAACATTTGTCCCCTCTGTGTAAAGAAATTCTGAACGTTTCAGGAACAAAGGTTCGCTCACTTTTTGTCCTGATCCATTTATATAAAAACCTGTCTGAAAATGAGCTGATCAGATTTTGTCCACTTTATGATGTCATAATGATTTTTTGGCTTGTGTAACCATTAGCCAATCACCAACCAAGGTAACCCCCCCCCCCCCCCCGCACCACCTTATCACCTGAATCTCCTCCTAGAGCACCATTGTGTTCTTTTGAACCAAATTTCTCTCAAAGGGGCGTGGGGAGTGGCTCCTTATTTTCATCTAAAGTAACAGACAGAGAATCAGCCCTTTTGAAACAGGGCTGAAACAGAGGGGTTTATGGGATGCTACAATGCATGATCTGTTTGGTATTTGTAGCCAAACACTTCAGAGACATGTTTTGTATACAATATCTGAGACCTATAATATATTGATGAAAAACAGTATAATAAGGGACCTTTAAGATGTTCTTTATGGTCGGGGACACAGTGTGCAAGATGTTCATTTCATTCCTTTTAGGGGCCATTCAGAATCATTTTCAAGGAAAACTGTCATCTTCTGAACTTAGTCCATGTTTGTTGGCTCCTTTCCACTCAGCACAGCAAAGGACTCCCTAATGGGTGACAAGTTCATTCCTTTTCAACATGGCAGGGTGTCAAACCTACAGAGAGGGGGGAAATCATGGGCACGACACAAAAGGAGAGCATACTGAAGGCTAGCAAGGACAGAAACAGTATTCGTTTTGTGGCCATATTTTTATCAGAAAACACCAATCTAACACTTTTTGCAATTTACTTTAGTGAAAACTAAAACCCTTTCTCTCTTTTACTTTAGTAAACATTTGAGATTGTTGCATGACATCAAAATAATAGTTTTTTGGGACATTGTTATAGTTTTTAAAATGTTAACAAAGAAAAGAGGTGAAGGCTTACACAAGGGGTAGCTATAGCGACCCTTTTTGCCCTCTCCCTTTAGGGCTTGAGTAAACACCGTGGCACCATTTCTCACAGATGAAAGAAGCGATATAATTAGTTGAAGTGAAGGTTAAAATTAGAAACTCACTATGAATCACCACCATGTCCTGCGTGCACTTAAGATTTCAGATTAGATTTAGATTAGAACAACTTTGATGTCCTCAATGAGGCAGTTAGTTCCAGAGCATAACCCTTTCTGCCTGAGGCACACATGACACTGAGCAACCCAACAAAACAAATAAGTTTACAATTATGTAGCCCTCTGCTTTTCACTGAGCAGATCTCTGAGATATCAAGAGTCAGTCCGTATATAATCCCATATGCCAAATAAAAGCACAAGACATTAACTGAGGCATTACATAATACACATTCAAATGAAGTTTTAATATGCAGAGTCATTATGCATAGGTTTGATTCTAACATCACAATCATACACTTAGCATCGTAAAACTCTGTTGCAATGTATATTAAAGTTGCAGAGGCTCACAGATGTTGTTTGAGATGTGGTCATATAGTATTAATTTAGTAGTACTGTGTACTGATAAGATATTCATACTGAATCTGGGTTATAGTTTACTACAGTAACCATTGTAACCACCAACAAGATATCACTAGAAGTCGGTTTTTCATTAAGACATTAATACTATAAATGCGAGTTTGTAAAGAACATTTCAATTAAAGGGGCACATACTTAAAGCAGTATTCATATGTAGAGTAAGCCATATGTGCCCATGTTTACTGGAGCGGCGGTTCCCTCCTAAGAGAAGTATAATGTGCCAACACAAAAACTTCCTGTTGAAAAAAACATTGTCTAGTGTAATGTTTGATGTGAACGGAATGTATGTTTGTACAATTTAGTTCACTAACTTTCAGCTGACACCTTGTTTACATTTACACTGTCATAGGTACACACACACACACACACACACACACACACACACACACACACACACACACACACACACAGGCACACGCACACGCACACGCACACACGCACACACACACACACACACACACACACATAGTGCTGGTCCCTGCTGCTTGTTGTCGACAATGATACACTGCTAAACTGTCTCTGTGTCCCTCTGCATCCTTCTCAGGGCCTCTGTGCTTGTCTGAATGTAGGCTGGATGGTTGGTGGGTGTGTAATTTGTTGATATGTGTGTTTGCTGTGCAGCATAAAGACAATATCACTAATTGCATAGTGCATTGGTTTAAGTATGTACACATGCTGCGTGTGTGTTCATGTGTGTGTTTGCGCTACTTGTATGTCCAAGCAGTTGTCCCAGATTTATTCACTGGCACTAGTTTCCACTTGCTACTTGGCCCGTGTGTGTGTGTGTGTGTGTGTGTGTGTGTGTGTGTGTGTGTGTGTGTGTGTGTGTGTGTGTGTGTGTGTGTGTGTGTGTGTGTGTGTGTGTGTGTGTGTGTGTGTGTGTGTGTGTGTGTGTGTGTGTGTGTGTGTGTGTGTGTGTGTGTGTGTGTGTGTGTGTGTGTGTGTGTGTGTGTGTGTGTGTGTGTGTGTGTGTGTGTGTGTGTGTGCGCGCGCAACACAGAGAGTTTGCTCCAGGGACTTATCTGAAGAGCCCTGCTGCTGATACATTCAGCTGTTTGACGTACCCTGCAAGAAAGAGACATGTCTGTCTTGGCACTTAAACACATGCATCATTATGCATATGATCATGCTTTCCATATTAAGCATCCATCCCATACTGCCCAAAACACACAGCATGGGTGTGAATGTATACAGTGGAGATGAGATTGTCTCATAAGGAATGATCCACCCAGATTTGGAACATTTGGGGAAAATCATGCTTATACCATGTAATCCTTCTGCCTAATCTGTAACTGAAGCCAATTCAGATTTTAGATTTCTGCAGGTAATGTCTAAGCTTAGTCAACAATACATTTTTATAAAAAGAACTGTGTCAATTGTAACTGCCTATCATCAGGCACTGGTGGAAGTGTTGTTTGTTGTAAACATGTTTACAACTCTTATTTCAGAAATTACTACTTTTCTTATTTATTCAACCACTAGATATGATCATTTAAGAATCCCTGGTTAAATCATAGGTCTCCTCTCTCTCTTTGTCTCTCTCTAAAATCGCGAAAATAAGATAACACTATTGTTATCATCAGGTGCAAATGCAAAGACCCTGGATCAGATATCATTATAAAGATGGTGCCAGATACATATCCCACATGTTCGCAAGGGATCTACGAGTTAGATGTCTCCCCCATGTGTGGTGCCAGCTTTTATTCTCCAATTTGATCGTGCATATATAATACATTAACAAAGCCAGATCTTATCAAAAGTAAATCATCACTACCTTTTTTTTAATACAACAATAAATCCAATACAAAATATAAAGACAGGGCAAGTTGGAGGAAGAGAACTACAAGTAAGTGCAGCGTTACAAATGATAAAGACATTTCTACTAGACTGCTGGGTAAAGGAAGGCAAAACTCTGGATTTACTAACAGATAGTCAGGATAGTCAGTTCAGCAGGTTGGTGGTGAGCTCCTCTGGTCATGACTGAAATAATTATATCACAACCAAACTACATTTGCTACATCACTGGATAAGGGTGAGGTGCTAAGACATTTGGACGATCTCAAGTCTTTGAAGTTGAAGTTAACCAACATAATTTGGACATCTGATGACGTCCCCTCTGGACAAGTTTCTGGCACATTATTCCTGGCACGTCCCTTATCCAGTGATGTAGCGGATACGTCAGACTAACAGGTGACCCTGGAGCAAACCCTGAAGACGCTAGAGGGCTTTCATATCCCACCTGGCCTGTGAGGAGGACATGTGTATGTGGAGGAGGATGTCTGGACTGCTTCTTTGAGACTAGTATGCTTTAGAGAGGATTAATAGATTACCTCTCTGTAAATTATAACATAGACATACATGAAAAAGGTTAATTCATTGATCTCTCCGTATGAGGGGATGTTGCTCTGGCAGGGCAAAGGTAACGTATTGTGGCTCCATTCTTTTTAGCCTGTCTTCCTGCTGTGATTCACTTTGATGTACTCCTTGAATATTTCTTCCCCTTCCTCTGAAGACTGTCAGGTCATAACTAATTCATACACCAGAACATACCGTACAGTGTGTGCACGTGCATGTGAGTGGGAAGAGAAAGAGAGTGATGTATTATTTAGCAAGATGTCAGGGGCATTTTGGTATTGTGCTGATGAGACGGAATCATAGATTATCCCAGCACAAGACACATGTGCACATGCGTGGACACACACACACACACACACACACACACACACACACACACACACACACACACACACACACACACACACACACACACACACACACACACACACACACACACACACACACACACACACACACACACACACACACACACACACACACACACACACACACATGTTGTTATGTATTAGAATGACCGTTGTTGAATAATTATTCTTTTACCCTCCACTTAATCCTCCTCCTCTGTCTTTGGAGATAATGGCTTTTAAATCACCTATTTATTTTAATTAAATTCCATTATTGTCACATTTTTATGTTTTATTATTAAATTGACTGATATAAAAATAAGAAATATATACATCTTC